AAAAAGACATTAAGAGTAGGGCTGGGGATTTAGCTCAGTGGTTCTGCTGCCTGCCTCACAAGCACAAGGACCCAAATTTGATCCCCGATACCAAAAAAAAACATTAAGAGTAGGGCTGGGGATTTAGCTCAGTGGTTCTGCTGCCTGCCTCACAAGCACAAGGTCCCAAATTTGATCCCCGATACCAAAAAAAAAAAAAAAAATGGTGCCATTAAAAAGTGGCCAGCACAATTCTCAACTCAACCTATCTCATAAGTCCTTTTCTTCACCATAACCTTCCTACTTATGTATATGCAGAATTGTTTTATGTCTATTTTCCATAAGGATACTAAGCCCCACAGGATACTAAGATGATGTATATAGGGTCAAGATGTAAGAAAATTAAGATTTTCTCCTGCCTCATCAAGAACAACCATGAGTGACACTATTTTTCTTTTCTTGCCACTTCCCAGTTCTGCAAAGAACACAATGGCTTCTTGATTCATGCTGAGGCACCAGCAACTCTGCCCACTGTCACTTTTGACCCCTTGGTGCAAATCTCAAAGCAGTGGGCAAGCAGGCAAACAGAATCTTGGTGTTCTTCAGCAAATGGACTCCCAGCAAGAGTCTGAGAGCCACCCTCAGGCCCAGAGCTCTGCAAATCACATGGGAGAGCGGCTCTTCTCATTCAATCTGACCAGAATTCATTTAAAATCCTAGGAAAAAAGACAGCTTTTAAAAATCTAAGTGTTATTAATTTTGGTGTTAATTCCCCTAAAAGAGCATTTACATTTATAGGATAGGAGATATTTTATTGTGCAATTTTAGACATCATGCCATAGATTGTAATAACTCTCCCTACTTGATTAATGTAAAATGAGTACAATAATAATTCTATTAAATGATGTGTTGTATTACACTTCTAAATGTACTTAAGGGCCTTCTCACAAAAGTACAGTTTGGGGTTATTTCTCCTTAGCTGATTAAAAGCACATGTAATTCTAATATTTTGAATATAACATCTTATATTAGCTGATCCCCTTGTGACTATCCTACCTGAATGCTCAGGGGTTATCTGAGGTTGAACCAAGTCCAGATCTTCATCTGACTCCTCTTTGGCCAGTTTTATTTTCTCAGAATAGTTTATGCCTTTATCATCTTTACTATCTCTTCTTTCCTCTGTATTACTGTTTTCTGAGTGATCCTCTTTTCCAGAATTCAACTTGCTTGCAGTTTCAACCTAAAAATAATTTCCAAAACAACAGGCTCTAAACAATAATATATTTTCTTAAACCTTCACATTTCAGAATATTTAACACTTATGGAAGCATATGTGGAGACAGATATGAATATGTACACTTGCATTACAGTACCTAGAAATATAAATTTTAATTAAATGTAATTTAAATACACAATTAACTTTAATAACATTTATACCAAATATGTGCCATTCTTCAGCTATCTCCAGCAGTTTTGGAAAAGAGCTGCGACCAGTCTGCCAGGCTCTGGGGATGACCAGTGGTGGATCCCATTCTGAATTTATACCCAGCCAAACAGTCCAAGCTCTAGGGTGACCCTGTCTACATGTGTTAAACAGCTGAAAAGTGGCAATCTGAGTTAAGATATCCTTCTAATGAGAGTCTTCTAATCAGAATCATGTGCCTTGGCTATTTTTACACTGTTCAATTTTTCTATTTTAGTTTAGCTTCCCTTTACATTTTAGCAAAGTTCATTTTTAAGAAAACCAGTTTGGCATAGTTGGGTCTTCCTGAGAGAGAAAAAAGAAAGACAGCCATGGCTGGGTTGGGAGAAAACAAGGGTCATAAGGTTCTGAGATCTTCGCACGGCAGTGAGAACCCCAGAAAAGCGAACAGGGCCCAAGGAAGCAGTGACCACTGCTCAGCCTCTCTAGCTGCACCCCTGGAAGGTTCCTGTGCTCCTCTGCCCCCAGGCTCGCTCTCCACTGCAGCAATGTACAGTCCTCTTGCAAATCTAGGGGACAGAGGAGCTGGGGATTTAGCTCAGTGGTTCTGCCACCTGCCTTGTAAGTGCAAAGTCCCAAGTTCAATCCCCAGTACCAAAAACAAAGTTTTTTTAAACAAAACAAAACAGTATGGAGATACCTCAAAGAACTAGGACTAGAAGTCCCATTTGACCCAGCTTTTCCCTGTTGGGTATCTTCCCAAAAGAATTAAAAGAATCATACCACAATGATATATGTGTACCCATGTTCATAACAACATAATTTGTGATAGCTAAAACTTGGAAGCAACCCAATTGCCCATCAGCTAGAGACTGGATAACGAAAACGTGGGGTTTTTTTAAAATAAAATGTAGTATTATGCAGCCATAAAGAAAGAGAAACTAGAGACATTTATAGCTAAATGGATGCACATTGAGGCGATACTCTTTAAGTGAAATAAATAGGACACACATGTGTAAATACCAAATAGTTTCTTTAGTGTGAGAAATTGAAAGTGTAAATAAGGACTAAAAGGTATAATAGATAATGTGAAATAGGAAGAAAAGGTGCAAAGGGGAAGGGGAAGTTGGAGGGGTAGGGGAAAGGAAAGAAGGGAATGGAATCAATATGAGAAAATGAAAAAATGGAAACAAAGTCTTTGTGTGGAGGGGTTGAAGGGAGGGCACGGGAATGGGGAGAAAAATAAGAACCAAGATGGATTATGTAAAGGTGCAAATTTCCAATGATGAATGTCATTATATTGTATACCTTAAATGTACCAATAAAATTTATATTAAAAAAAATCTCAGGGACCGAAAACCAGGGGTGCTGAGAACTGAACTGCTAGGAATGCCACTCACAGGGGCAAGCATCTCCCTGCCTGGCTCAGGACCAAGTTCTGCATGTCTAGTCACCAACTCTGTGGTTCTGGGAGGTTTGGGCAGTGCCAGAAGCAGCAGCAGGAGCAGCTTTCTCGTCTCTGGGTACAGCCACACTGGAGTGACCTGGAGGCCCCATCCCCAGACTCCCTTTCCCTGCTGGGCTTCTGTCGGTTTGGAGAAACTGGATTCTTGTATCCCATCCCTTTCTGCTAGGAATACTTTGAGTGCTGTTTCTTGCACCAAATCATGATAGACAAAAATTTCTAACATTTTTTAATACAAAATCTAGTCTATAAATTTTTAAAAATTAGTATGGATTCATTCATTCACAGAGGATTTTTTTCACCGTAAGTTTCAAAAACTTTTCCTACAACCTGAAAAGGAATAAACTGTACTGTATCACACATGAAGAAGCAAATTCTTTTTTTTTTAAATCAAGATTAAACAGTTTACAAAAAGAAAAACAGATAACTACTATAGAAAAAGAAGTCATGACCAGGTAACACACCTATGAAATATATCACAGCCTCAAACCATTTTTTTAAATACTGAAGCTTTTTCATAGTAAATATCAATGAGTATATCCTAGATATTAAAATGAAAGCTTCCTTATGAAGGAAAACAAAAACCACACTCCAAAATAAGAAAGAAGTGAGAGGAAGGAAGGAGTTGAGTACTTTCACATTAAACAATCTAGAGTAAAATCCAAGAAACCAGTAAATGCTCCGGGCACACACTCTCTAAAGAAGAAATTTAAAATGGATTTTAAAACCACCTGGCTTCATCAACTGCAGAGACTGGAAGGAAGCAGTCGATTCATTTTTTTAATTAAGTTTATTGGTACATTTTAGGTGTTCAATATGATGACATTCATCATTGGGAATTTGTACCTGTACATGATATATCTTGATTTTTCTTTTTTCCCCATTCCCCTGCCCTCCCTTCCACTCCTCCACCCTTCTCTATTTACAAAAAATTTTGTTCCCGTTTTTTCCTTCTTTTCTCATATTTCCCCCCTCCCTACTTCCCCTTACCCTTTGACCTTTTCTTCTTATTTCACATTATCTAGTGTACATTTTAATCCTCGTTAACATTTTCAGTTTCTCACACCAGAGAAACTATTCAGTATGTACCCATGTGTTGGTGGGAGTGCAAACTGGTGCAGCCACTGTGGAAGTCAGTATGGAGATGCCTCAAAAAACTAGGATTAGAGGTCCCATTTGACCCAGCTATTCCCCTACTGGCTATCTTCCCAAAAGAATTAAAAGCATCATACCACAGTGACATATGCACACCCATGTTTACAGCAGCACAGTTTGTAATAGCTATGTCTTGGAAACAGCCCAAATGCTCATCAACTAGTGACTAGATAGAAGATGTGTTTTTATATAAAATGGAGTACTACTCAGTCATAAAGAATGATAAACTAGATACATGTATAGCTAAATGGATGCACATTGAGGCCATACTCTTAAGTGAAATAGTCAATTCATTTCTAAGCAACAAGTTACCTTGCAGGGCCCTGGTTCTGGTGAAAGCACTTCTAAAGAAGCACTTGAACTCCTGCTCCCAGGACGTGTTCTTGAACTTGAGGCTGGTTTTGAAATTCCATCTAGGTTTCCCTTTATAATATCCATTGACATCCTAACACAAACAAAAGCATTAAAAAGCAAGTAACTCAGATCTTCAGATGATTTGGTAATGTTCATATCTAATTCCTCAGAGCCTTGTTTGAAATATCATATTATGACCAAAGTCACACTTCAGGGCTCTCCAGCTTCATCCAAGAAATAGGAAAAGTCTAGCTTTGGTCCTCTCAATACATAGCTTTACATATGAATGGATATCTTCCACCAAATCCTTTCTACTCTTACAATTATACATTAAATCATTTCCCTCATAACAGAACAAAGCTCAATTGCCTGTGCCCTTTCAAGTGTAACGGTCATCTTTCTTTCTGTCTGTGAGCTACAGAGGCAGAGACCAGAGAGGCTTCGAACACAGGACGAATCACAAACATCACCAAATTGAGCTCCTTCTCGGCACACAGAGTGGTAATGATTTGGCTTCCAACCATTCAATGTGCCAAAGCTGATACTTAAGCAACAACTAGGTCAACTCTTTCTATCTCAGCAATTGAAAAAGGCATTGATCTCAACACTATTCACACTCTGCCAAGGGGCTTGGGTTCACTGACACTGTTACTGTGGGATGATGGATCACCCTGGCCCATCACATCACAGCCAGACAGCAGGAGTCACCAAAAGGCCAAATGTCTTCTAAGCATCTTAAGCGCACTGTCAAAGGAGACGAATCACAGGGTACAGAGGGAGCAACAACACAGACGCAAGTGCACAGCTGACATAATACCTGTCAAAAAACACAGAGCCACAAAGGCATGGGTCAGCTCAGCGGCTCCAGAAGCCTTTCAATCTGCTTTCAGAATGGTCTGCTCTACTACATTCTCCCCTGAAAACAGTGAATTAAGTTAAATATAGTTCCTGGGAAGGGTGAGTGTAATTGATAATCTTTGAATTAATTTGGACCTGTGGAAAATAGTACGGATAAAGAGCATTAAAATTGGATCTTAAAGATATATCTGAGTATTTGAGAAGAAAGGGGAAAGGAAAGGAGAGGGAAGGCAGAAAAAAAGAATTAAGATGTATTATGTACATGTACAAATTCTCCATAATGAATGTAATCATTATGTACTCCAAACATGTACTAACATTTTTTTAAAAAGAAAAACAAAGGGAAGAGGAGAGGAGAGAAGGAGAAGGGAGGGAAGAAGAGAAAGGAGGAGAGAGGAGAGGAGAGGGAAAGGAATGCAAATTGACAATACTCTTGCTTATAGTCCTATTTCTCTAATTAAGTGAATACAGTAAGAGACCTGCAAGACCATCGCACATCAGCAAAGTAAGAGCGGTATGTTCTGGACTGGTGGATTCCTGGATGTTCCTATGTCTTTGTTTTGCCTTTTACTTACCTGTATTTTTTGTTTTTCTATGAAGAATACCTTGAATTCATGATTAAAGAATTTATTTATTGTAGAAAGATTTCTAGAATTACTGAGAAGTATTTTAAAACATAAAAGTCACCCAACACTCTACCACCCCGAGTTGTTCATTGCTGGTACAATTCTGTTTTTTCTCTGTATCTTTTTCAACAAAATTAGACTCACATCTTTCTCACCTATGATGCACATTTCCTTATGACATTAACATACTTTGGATGCAGAATAGTATTTACTTGGTGACATTCGATTATATAAGTATATGACAACAAATCACTGCTAACACATGCCAATTTTTCATGACATTCACTTCAAACAAGGTTAATTTAAATCTTTTCATATAGGCTGTAGGAAATGCAGCCTCCACAGATGATTTAAAGTCCAAGTGGAAACATATGGCAACTATAATTTGATTTTTTTTTTGGATGAATAAAAGAATTAAAAGGAAATGAGTCCTCCTCTGCTTGGTAATTAGAACAGTAAGCCTAGAAATGGAGAATTAATTTCTTTCCATTATCTTTATGTCAAAAATTATATATGGTCTTTTTGTTACCAAATATATATTTTTTACTATATAAGGAATACTTGTCCGAGAGACAAAAATCAAATAATAGAGAACAATGCAAAATTTTTTAAAGTCAAAATTCTCCTCAAGAACCAATGTTATTTTTTTTTCATTTGTAGCTACATACAAACCTTCTGTCCTTTATAATAACCTACTCCTCCCCAACACAAACACACATAAATGGCCTGGTGCTTTGCAACTTTCTTTTTTAAATGTAATATACTTTCGAGATTTTCTTCTATATAACCATTAATAGACATGCTTCATTCTTTCAAACAGAAGCATAACATGCCAGTGCACAGACAGCATTTCTAATCAACAAGCAACTGATACGCACAACGTGGATGGGTATCAACTGCGTTGTGCTAAATGGGAAGTAGCTAGATTCAAAAGGTGACATAGTATTTATTTCCATCAGCGTAACACGCTGGGCAGCTGATGAATGGCTGCCAGGTCGAGGTGCCAGAGGTGTTAACTACAAAGAGTTCTAGGGGATGGGATGGGGGAATGTTTTGTCTTAATTGTGGTAGTAATTACATAACTGTGTCAAAATTCAGAGAACTGTACATTGTAAAGGTGAATTTTGACATATGTAAAGAATACCTCAATTTTAAGTTAGTATCTTTGTGTTAAACTTTAGCTAAGCTCATATATCCGATATATAAACCATAATTGCTTTATCAAAGAACACCTGTGTTTCTAGTTTGGTTTTCCGCCAAATTGTGCTCCAAAAATAATAATGACAATAACATCAATAATGACCAAATGACATCACTACCAGTGGGGTGCACTGACGTTACAGTGCATGTGCCCCTTCCTTGGCCTGGCGTCAGTCAGTCTGGTTCTCTGCAAAACCTTTTCACCTTCGCCAACCTGATAAGACGTCCAAAGGTTTCTGAGTTTGGTTGACATTTCTTTAATTAGGAGAAAAGTCTCTAGTCAAACGTTTACTGGCCATTATAGACCTCAGTGGCTAGAAGGCACTGAAAGGTGGAGTCCTAACGTTGGAAATGTTTGCAGTCAGGTACTAGAAATCCGAAACTTCAGTCCTCGGTGTTCAGACCCGCCTGCACCCCCGCCCACGCCCACGCCCATGCTCACGCCGGAGTCTGGCCCCGCCCCCTCAGTCCTCTTCCGCCCTCTCATTGGCCCTCCTCGCCTGACAGCCAGTCCTCCGCCACTCAACCAGAGAGGACTCCGCCCACTCGACAGCTGGTCCTAGCGTCTTCGTGCAGTCCCTCACCTTTCGTCAGGACGGGGACCAGTCGCCAGAGCACTGAAGGCACAAAAGTCCGGCGCTGACACTCTGGAGCGTCACCCTTTCACCCGCAACGGGGAGAGGTCTTTCCCACTACTGCAACTTCTCCACAGGTGGAAGACGAAAGCGATCCAAACCTCGCTGCTTCCGGGAACGTTGTTCCCCTGGCAACCAGAAGCGCGCCGCTCCAGTCTCGCGATAGGAGGAAAAGGCTGTACCAACCGGAAATAGGACGTGGGGGCGGGCGACCGGGAAGACTGGCGAAGCGACGGGAGTTCCGGGTTAGGCGGTCCTGCTGTCTCCTCAGCGTTTGAGGTAGAGGGATGGTGGGGGGAAAGGCAATGTTTGGATTTAGGTTGGCCTCTGAACGAGGACTCCGGATGTCTGGTGCTGTGTCCTATTACTCTGATGCCAGCTGCTCTCACTGACCCCGGTTTTGTCCATCGACCGGAAAATGAGGCTGATAATTATTCCCTCCTTGCAAGACGGGTGTACAGCTCAAAAAGATCTGCATGGGAGGCTCTTGGTAAATTTGGGGCAGTATATAAACAACAACAACGAGACTAGTTTTGCGCAGTTTGGGGTATGGTCTAAAAAGGCTAATAACTGCGATTTGCACCTTCTTTTTTCATAGTTTCCCTAATTCTCAGTCCATACAGACGTCCCCCTGGATCCCGTAGCGGATATTTCCTCATCCTCGGTACCATCAGTTGTCTTCTACTTTTGAGTCTGAACAGAACTTTACAGTTAACAAGCATTCTCACGTTCGTGACCTGTTTATCGTTGTTATTTAGGTAGGTAGGATGTGTACTCTTCAGTCTTTCTCAGCAGAGTAAAGAAACATAGGTTCAGTGAGTTCCCCAAAGAACACAGCTATACTCTACACCAATGCTGTAAAAACCTTCTGGGTGTAAATGGCATCTGTATGCTGCTGAATTCTGCTTTTCTGTCTCTATTCCAGACTTCTGCCCTGAACCCCAGATTCCTTTATCTAAATACCTACTTGACATTTCCGTTTAGATGTGTACAAGAATCTCAACCTTAACACGTCAATCATCAATAGTCCTTTTCCACGGTGCCCCTCTGCATTCCAGCCCCTATCCTCCTCAGTAAATGTTAACTCCATTCTGCCAGGCTCAGACCAAAAATCGTGAATTATCCTCAGTTCCTCTTCCTCTCCACACACTACAATTGTCAAATATATACTAGCTCTATATTCGAAAGATATCCAGAATCCAAACACTTCTCTTCCATTCAGGTCCTCACGGCCATCATCTGTCATTTGTACAATAACTTAACTGTAGTATTTTGTACAAGGGGTCTTCCCTGCCTGTGATAGTTAACTGTTGAGTCTACTTGAGTAAGAAACACCCAGCTGATCGGCTTGGATCTGAGTGTGACTGAATGATGGACTTACTGAAGACAGAAGACCCCACCCTGGGGTAGCACCAACCACTAAGCTTGTATCCTTCCCAGCATAAAAAGGGAAAGAAAACAGAAGTCTCGCTTTCCGTTCTTTGAAGGAGCTTCAGTCTTAGCCCTTGCCATTGGATGTCTGTCTCCAGCCTTGCAGTGCAAAATTCTCCCTTCCAGCCCAGACTTTTCAGACTTTCAGTGCAGACACTTCAGCTTCCCAATACAGATTCCAGTGGGACTCCAGTGAGGTGCAGGTCTTCCACCGTCAACTGGAGTATGTAACTCTCCATTGGGCAGACAGGCTTTTTGCATTCTTCCACAGCCTGATTCTGCAGTAAGTCCTACCTTATAAGTCCTATATACTGCCCTTACTCAACTTTTAACAGCAGTCTGAAGCATACTTTCAATAGCTAAGCCAAACCATATTACTCAGAGCTACTCAGAGGTTCAGAGCTCCCCATGGCTCCCCATTTCATTTAGGGTCCTTACAATGCCTGTGGGTCCTAAACAATCAGGTCTCTGTTACCTCTCTGTAGTCCTACTACCATCTTGTCCTCATTGTTAGTGTTCTGTGCAGGAAATTCTTCTCAGAATTTCTCAGGAAATGTTATGTTTTTCTAAATTCTAGTGTGTTTTTTAATGGAGAAATCAAGAAAACAGGAGGAAGTATTTTAGTTCTCATAGCAGAATTAAACCTTAGCAGCCAACATAAAGATGTTACCAAAGAAATCCACTGAGGTCGAGTGGAAAGCAAGAGCAGAAATGCTAACACGCTGAGTCAGAGGTTGATGTCAACATTGCCGTGAACTAGGACAGGAGCTCTGGGAGAGGCACGGTCGAGGATCTGACCAATCATTGCTTGTAGCTGGGGCCATGTTCTAAGTGTCTGTTCCTGACCCTGTCTGCTGGCATTGAATCTTCCTTCCAAATAAAATAAATGTTAATAAACTGATACTCATGTTTCATACATATTCAATGAACAGTATTTCAAGAAATGTATTTGGGATTTAATGTAAGTCCTTAAATTGGCAGTTTCCAACTTAAGATGCTAAGTTGTGCTGTTAACTTCGCTAGTAGATTTGTATATGGAAGTGGACCAGAGAGGTAGAAGGGTAGCTCAGTGGTAGAATACTTACTCACCTAGCATGGGTTCAATACCCAGCACCACTACGGAAAAAAAGGAAAGAAAAAGAAAACAAAAGAAGGCTTCCTAAAGGGGAATCAGGAGATTGCTGGAGGATTGTACTCACATCTGTTAAATGTCAAAGCACAGAATCTTCCAACAGAGTTGAGTAAACAGCTGAGGGGAGTATGAGGGGCCTTCAGCACTCTTAGCTGGGAGTACCCTAGTTTCCATTTAGGATTCTTCCCAGCCAATAAACAGCTTCCCAACACTGTTCTTTGTGGAAATCCTCTATTTTTTTTTTTTTTTTTTAAAAAGCCTCTCCTGACCTTCCTTAAATTACACTATTCCGGGGGCTGGCCTGATTCAGTGTATCCAAACTGTAGTTCTTTGTTTCCCAAAAAATGCTCTTTGCTTTGACCTCTGTATCCCCCTTCTGTTAGGTAACAATTATATTATTTAAATACTACCCAACATTGTTCTCTGTGTTTTTCATTTTTAAATAGTTGCTGTATTTGTATCCTTATAAACACTTCTAGCCAAGCATGGTTTTGCATGCCTGTAATCCCAGCACTTGGGAGACTGAGGCAGGAGGATTGCCACAAGTTCAAGGCCAACTTGAACTACATAGCAAGACCTGTCTCAAAAAGAAATGTTTAAATAAACACATAAAATTAATAGTTCTTATTTTTTAAACAAATTCTTTGGATAGTCCTAATAAGAAGTAAAGAATATGAGGAAGGTTGGCACTGTTTGAAGAATAAAGGAGAAGCACGATGGCACACGACTGAAATCCCAACTACTTGGGAAGCTGAGCCCAGAGGATCAAATTCGAGGCCAGCTTGGGCAGCTGAGTGAGACCTTGTCTCAAAATAAAATGAAACAAAAAGAGCCACTCATAGGGAGAGCACTTCTCTAGCATGTATAAGACCCTGGGTTCCATCCCCAGTACCTGAAAAAGGAACGTTAAAGGTCTAGGAGTATAGCTCAGTGGTAGAGGCCATGCTTAGGAAGCACAATAGCCTGGGTTTGATCCCCAGGTACAAAAGAAGGAGGAGGGGGAGGGGAAGAAGAAGAGGAGGAGGAGGAGGAGGAAAAGAGAACAAGATTTTAAGAATGCAAATCAGTTCTGATTTCCTGTTTCTACAGCCCAAAGATTAATATCTCTTGGGAACCCTATTCCTTGTTGTGGTTTTTCCAATATAAATAAACACACACACACACATCTCATTGCTTCTGCCTGGAATAGAGCACTCATCTATCCCTATGCCCATCTTCCTCTCTTTTCTCAGAAAACAGTTTCCCCAAGAAGGCATTTGCTGTATAAAATAATCCCACACACACACACACTCCCTACCCTCTGTCCCCTGGAGCCTCTATGTTAGCTTTCCACTCCTGTGACAGAATACCCAAGATAATAAACATACAAGGAGAAAAACATTTGTCTTGGCACATAGTTTCACAGGTTTTAGTCCATGGTCACTCAGCCCTGTCATGTGCCCGTTGGGGTGGGAGCAGCACCTGGTAGGGAGGCCTATTCGCCTCAGGGCACCCAGGAAGCACAGTGAAGAGAAGGGAGCAGTCATATTCCCTTGAAAGGAACACCCACAATACCGTAACCAGACCCCACTCCCCAAAACCCTGCAACCTCCCAACACACTGTGAGCTTTAAGGCATGGGCCTTCAGGGGACATTTCTCCAAACTACAGCACCTTTTTTTCTTTTTTTAAATAAAGAGGAGACGTACTAATATTTGGATTCTGATACTAAATAGATGGGGGATCTTGGGTAAATCCGTAAGCTTTTTTTTTATTCATTAAGTTTATTGGTACATTTTAGGTATACAATACGATGACATTCATCATTGGGAATTTACATGATATATCTTGGTTCTTATTTTTTCCCCATTCCCTGCCCTCCCTTCACCGCCTCCACCTTTCCCTATTTACAAAGACTTTGTTTCCATTTTGTCCTTTTCTCATAGTTTTTCCTTTCCCTTCTTTCCTTTCCCCTTCCCCTCCCATCACCCCTACACCTTTGGACATTTCTTCCTATTTCACATTATCAATTATTCTTTTTATTCATTTTAATCCTCATTTACACTCTCAGTTTCTCACACCAGAGAAACTATTCGGTATTTACACATGTGTATCCTATTTATTTCACTTAAAAGTATGACCTCAATATGCATCCATTTAGCTATAAATGTCTCTAGTTTGTCATTCTTTATGGCTGAGCAGTACTCCATTTTATTTTAAAAAACCTATATCTTCTTTATCCAGTCTCCAGTTGATGGCCAATTGGGCTGTTTCCAAGTTTTAGCTATTACAAACTGTGCCACTATAAACATGGGTGCTCATATATTGTTATGGTATGATTCTTTTAATTGTTTAAGGAACATACCCACCAGGGGAGTAGCTGGGTCAAATGGGACCTCTAATCCTAGTTTTTGAGGTATCTCCATACTGATTTCCACAGTGGTTGCACCAGTCTGCACTCCCACCAGCAATGGAGAAGGGTTCCTTTCTCCCCACAACCCCACCAGCATTTGGTGTTGCTTGATTTCTTGATAGCAGCCATTCTTTGTGGAGTGA